TGGAGTGTGTTAAAATTTTGCTGGAACATGGAGCTCAAGCTGATGTTATAGATGTTAACAATAGCACACCACTCCATCTTTCAGCAGCCAATGGTGACATTGACATTGCAGTGCTTTTGTTAGAGAGAGAAGCAAAGGTTGATGCCAAAGACAAGGTGAAGTTGTGACACTGCTGTAAAGTTCAGACTGATATTGAATCTCCTGGGAATGAGCATAGCATTAAATGTTTTTTTTTAGATACGTGTATTCAATACTAATTGAATGGATTTGAAATATTTGGGCTTAACCCTTTAACTCCCGATCAAATTTGTAATTCTCCTTACTGTCAACCACACAATTCTTATAATGCTAGTTCAGAGAATTTATTATTGGATCAACTAGTTATCCCCAAATCGATAGTTTTCTTTATTCTCATCACTTATCTGGTTGATATTGTATTGATATTGTAAGGAGAAATTCTGTCTTGGTCACTTGTGGGAGTTAGTGTGAAATCTGATCTCAGATTTGAAAATTTTAACAGAAAATACATTATAATTCTTTCTTTCTTTAATTTGGTGATTGGATAGAATAGAGAAAATTATTCCAGAAAGGCTTTTGAACAAAGGAATAAAGAAATATTTTCTTTTCTTTCCAGGAAGGGTTTACTCCTCTACATGTGTCAGCATCACTTGGAAATCTGGATTTTGTCAATTTTCTGATTAATGAAGGAGCACAGATTGACCAAGTTGATGCCCATGGCAGGTAAACCAACTGTGCTCATATGCACAAGTCTTGGGATATCTCTCCGTGGTTGCCAAACCTTTGAACAGGAGTGAGGCTAAGGGTGACCTTGTTATGATAAAAATGTTGCTGCTTTATAAATGTATATTACTTTATTATCATGCTAGCTAGATACTTGTTTCAATCACAACAAGGTCACCTTCAGCCTCACTCCAAATCAAAGGCTTGGCAACTAAGCACACAGCTTTAAAATGGCTTATTCTCCAAGCTCAAATTTTTCAACAATTAACCTTAATTTGTGACTTATAAGATAATGAAATGGTGGCCAGAGAAAAATCCGTTTTCCTTAAAAAAAAGAAATATTGAAATAATCATGGATTCATCTCTTTCAGCAACTAAAAAAATTATGAAAAATGATTTTAAAAAAATTTTGCTAACAGCCTTTTGTTTACAGTGTGCAACTGTTCTTTTCATCATTGCTTTCATCATCATTATCACTACCTTTGTCTTAATTGTTATTATTATGATTAAACAATGTTTGCTTTGCATGGTAGGACTGCATTGATGACAGCTGCCAGTGAGGGTCACATGAGTATAGTCAGGCTCTTCCTTCGACAAAATGCAAACACAGAGCTGAAAGATGCTCAAGGTTGGAAAGCTTCAGACCATGCTGTTATTCATGGACACCACAGGTTAGGCAAGCATGCCACCCTTTACACAGGGGTACAAATCTCTTTCACCCTTTAACTCCCAGGATCTGATTAACATGTAGCTCTTTCCTGTGATATCCATACACAATCCAAAAAACAGGTAATGAATATACTCAAACTTATCAGGTAGAAGTTGTTGACTCCTGATCTAACACCAAATTAATGTTACTTAATTTAACAAGGAAATCTGTGGCAGCTAGAGGGAGAATTAACAATCAGATCTTGGGAGTTAAAGGGTTAAATGAGATTTCACTGAATCATGAGAATGATACCTAATCAGCAGGCTGTGACCACTTTGGTGGCAATGGTTACTAGAAAAAATCTTGGGCAATTAACTGAATTGCTTTTTAAGTTGCTAATTTGGTGATACGTGTCCAGGAGTCATTAGGCAAGTTGTACACGTTTTTACAACTTAGTTTTTATGGTGTTACATGAAAATGAGATTAAAACACTGTTATGGAATTTTAGTCATGCCTCGTCATTCTCTTGTATAAAGTTTGCCTCTTTCTCTCTTGATTAAGCCTTGAGATGTTCTGTTGATCTCTTAAAAAATTAATGTCAGTTGTTCTTTTTAATCCAAAGACATGTATTGTGGTCATTTGTTTATAAAACAATGTAATACTGCACAAAGTTTCCTTTTTGTGGTTGGCAAGATTTCATATTTGAAAAACAGTTAGCTAGCAGCTTGCTTGATTGTCCTCCAGTTTAACTTCTCAGTCATTTTTTTCTCATCCAGTATTTCAAATATTATCGAGGAGCATGAGGAACAGCAAGAAAAAGCAAAGAATCAAGCAAGAGCTGCTACTTCAAATAAACCAGCAACACAAAACAAGAAAGGAGATTTTTCAGGTTTATTAGGATCTGGAACAGCAACAAATGATGCGGATTTCTCATTTGGGGGACCAGTGGCTGATGAGGGAGGTGAGAATGTTTTTGGCTACTCTTTGGTAACAGTACTGGATGAGAAAACTAGATTTGTTTTCTTCAAGAATTCTTATCTCGTCTCAAAACTTGATTCTCAAATTTTGGAAACTCAAAGCTCAAAACTCAAGCCTGGAAACGTGATTCACAATTTTTGAAACTTTGAGGAATTAAAGGATTGAGTTTCAAGTTAAGACCGTCAACTTACTCTTTTAACCCTTTTATTCCCAAGATCTCATTTGTAATTCTCCTTACTGTCTGCCATACAGTTCTTGTGATGTTAGTTTGGAGAATTTGGTCTGGGTCAACTAATTATCTCCTGACAGATATTTGTATCTATTCTCATCACTTGTCTGCACGATATTGTATTGGTATTGTAAGGAGAAATTCTGTCTTGGTCAGTCGTGGAAGTTAAAGGGTTAATTAATGGTATTGTAAGTGAGAGAATAATAATACACAGGTTGGTGGTGACAGTATAGTGGACTAAAAGATCTAGAATCAAGCTCATTGTATTATGCTCCTTGGCAAGACACTGTTGTCATAACACCTTTCTCCATCCAGCGGTTTACACTCAGTCAAACCTGTGTTAGGCGGCCACCCTCAGGGTATGGTGGAGTGTCTGCTACATACAGGTTCCACAGAATAGGAGTATTGTTAAAACTGATTAAAATCACCATTTTATAACTTAATTTAACCACTAGATGCTGAAAAATTCCATCGAAATACTGCTAGAATTGATTGTGAGAGATAAAAAATGGATTAAATTTTACTCGAAAGATTATTCTTACTTTTATTTGGGAATGAGTGGTTCCACTTTAAGTGCCTGTTCAATACAAGGTGAGGAAAATACAAAAAAGCTGTTGGAACTCTCCCTTAATAGAGGTGACTGCTTACCAGAGGTGAAAATGACTGTAAACAGTTATTAAGGGGTAAAAATTTTGGGACTTTGAAAACCAGCTGTTTAATACAGGGTGTCCTCTAAATATGGTGACATGTAATATAGGTTCAACTTTAATTAGCTACTGTCAAGAAAACCTCACAAAATGCAGGAAGGTAACTTGGGATGGACCAACATCTCATTTGGAGGAGTAATATAATACTCTCACTCACTTTATGTTAGTAAACGTGTTATTGTTGCTGTTAAGCCTGTGTGAGGAACATCTTGCTCTATGCCAATTTCCTTTTACTTGCCAAATTTTAAATTTGGTTTCACATTCCAGGTAGTCTTCCATGCAGTTTTCATCGGCCAGGATGTCACGCAATAGGACAGAGCTTTAAGCTTTCTTTGAGATTATTCATAATTTACGTTAGACTCTGTAAACCTTACTGTAAAGTTTCCTTTTGATGCAGGTTACAATAGTACCTCAGCAAAGGAAGAGGATTCTGCCAGTCAGTAAGTATAATCTAAATTTACGTAGCCACCTTCAGGGATTTCAGGAAGCAGTGCAGCTAAGGAGAGTAGCATTAAGTAAAAAGGAAGTAGTCTCCATGTGTGAGAAACGATAGCACAGTGTATTGAAATTTAGCTCATGAATTCTCCCCAGTAGCCAGTGAATTCTCTGACCCCCAATAAACAATTCATTTGAGGTTCAATTCCTCATGGCAGAGAATTTTACATTTGTCCCACACCCATGACAAGATCACTATTTCTTTACTCTAAGCTTGCCATCTCCCTTATTCTATACAACCATGTTTGGTAATTGTTTGGTGAAAAATGGTAGGCCGGGAATATTATTAAGCTTGCATGAAAAAAGAACCAAAATGAAATGAAATTTTATTTGCATGCCAATTTGCACTTTCTTTATGATGAAGCAAGTCGATTATTTAATATATTAATGTGGCTAGATGTAACCAAACCTTGTCTAGGTGAAAATGATTGCTAGCTATAAATATGCTTACTTGGAGTAAGCTTAAAACAAGAAAACACCTGCTGTGAAATGTTGTTATGTGTAATTATATGCAAGAATGAGTAATGAGCATCATAAACTTAACGTTGTAAACGAGAATCCTACCGGGTGTTGTTCTGAACAGAAGAGTAAGATGGAAGAGTAATGTAGCAACTGTTAGTGTGTAGTTTATAATTCATTGTGTCATGTCATAACAAGTTCTATGAAGTTCAGAAACTGGTGATAGCTTCATACTTACCTTTTTTCCAGCTGGCGATTCCTTACAAAGTTAATTTCTTGTGTATGTTGAATTTATGTTGTGTTTTGCAAAAATTTACCATAGTGACTGAACATTTCCACTGCTGATGTAGCGTTAACTATCAACTAGTACACGCAAGCTTCCTTTAATTTCATTTTATGGCCATCAACATTAATCTTTATCTGTAAACACAGGTTATTACAACTGTGTTGAGTCCAATTCAGTGACTTGTATTTTTTTCTTCAAGTGTAGTAGTGTAGTTACTGCATGTATTAGTGAATTTGAACAACTTTCACTAGTTATAAATTTCCCTATTAGAAAGTTCTTAAGACTTCTACGAAATATCTGCGAATTTTTAGGGTTGTTCCGTTACAAATTATGTTAAGAATGGCATCTGTCACTTACTACCCGCAGAGTGTTTTTCAATGAAGCAGGCCATACTTTACTGAGCGGTTCGCTTGAATTTTTATTTTTTGCCAGATATTCGGAACTTTCGCGCGCAAATGAAAGGATAAACCCTTTGTCTTCTGTGATTCGTGCGTGTGAACGTTTTTCGATGGATTGACTTACAACGAAAATTAAATTAATCACAATGGCAAATCAGAACAAAGGAAAATACCTTCAAGAGCCAATTAGAACTCAAAGGAAAACAACCGAAATGTCCAAAGCGCGGGAAAACGCGGGTGACCAAGTCGTGATTGTTTTTAGTTTTGCATCTGATTGGTTGAAAGAGAGGCGCGAGTTCTCTGGACCAATTACAGAGCGACGTTAACCAAATTCCAAGCAATTCCCGAGTGTTTTCGACATTCATTGAAAATTGCTGTAATTATTTTGTCTTTCAGTCACTCAGGGGGAGGGGGAAATTCATGGAGCTCGTCTGATGACGATGACGACATGCTTCAATCAACAGCAAAGGTAAACAGTGATTTTTTTTTCTCTTCGGCTAAACGCTCAGTTTTGCCAATCTTGTTTTAGATTTTTTTTTCGGGCTGTAATACTCAAGAAGCATAAGTCGATCGTGATTCGTCGGTAGTGTTCGGTCGTTCTGTTTGGTTTGATTGAGGTGTAAATTACTTACCAAGTCGCGTTTGGTTCTAGTCTTGCATCAGATTGGTCGAGAAGGTAGCGCGAGTTTTCCAGACCAAATCACAGAGCGACGTAATTAAATCAATGCATTTTCGGCCAGATTACTTTCGACACTCGATTGAAAATTGATCACAGAGGTGATTTTACCATTGATGTATGTTTTATGTTGTTAGTCGAGATCAGGCAAGCCAAGTTTGTTGGCAGCACTGAGCAAGTCATCCAAACCAGTCACCAGGACGGCGTCAGATGTTTCCACTCAGAGCGCTAAATGTGAGTATTATCAGTAGGTAAATTCTCCCAAGAGGTATCCGAAAATTTCTGTCATTTCGGTTTTGTAGAAATCAATTTTTATCTGCGAGAAGAGAAGATTTGTCTGATTCACGGAAATTATGGAATTTAAAAAGCATTTTAAAGGCCATGGTAGTCGCAGATTTCTAGTGTTGTGTATGGAAAAGTCCTTGAAAATAACTGATATTTCTTCATTAATTTTTATCGTACATTCAGTGGAAATTTTCGGTTAAGTATCCAACCCTTTTTTGCAATTTCTTTCTCCAGCAAATAGCCGAATTCCTGTGAGAACAAATGTTGTTAAAACAGAGCCTATTCAAGGTGAGTTAAGCTCAAGTTAAAATTTTTACGTAGTTAATGTTATTGTTCTATTTTTAATGTGTAAAACCACTTTGACACTCGAGATGCTTTTGGTATATGTCTAATTATAGCAAATTACAGCAGAAGCTACTGAATTTATTGATCTTCGAATGTAATTCGCTGTGTGTTTTTTAATGTATGAACAAGTAAGTCACAGCATAAATAAATGTTGTCGTTCTTTTAGATCAACTAATTTCTATTTTAGAATAAAGGTTGTTTGGTTTTACGCTAGAATCAAAGCCTGTAGCACGTGACAACAATGTATCGTCACGCATTCCTGTCAAGACAGACGAGAACCAGTCTCCATCTCCAGCCAAGAAACCGCTGATGACTGAAGCGAGTCAAAAAAGCAGCCCCACCAACTCCCAACAGAGTACACCCACCAGGAGGAAATTGCCAACACCAGGGGGAGTAGGTCAAGTAGTGAAGGAATCGCCTCAATTATCCCGAGCCACGCCGCAGAGAGTGACGGAGGATCAAGACTCGGAGGTAATTACGCATGATTCTGTAAAACGGCACATTTTGATTTAGTTTCGTAAAACCAAAACCAAAGTTATTGCTACGGCCAATCAAAGCGAAGGAAAATACCACAAGAACCAATGAGAACTCAAAGTGAAAAAGGCGGGAAAACGCAGGTGACCATGTCGCGATTGGTTTAACTTTCGCATCTGATTGGTCGGGAGGATGGCGCGAGTCTTGTGGACCAATTAGATAGCAAGCTAAACCAAATCAAATGTAATTGGTGTCAGACGAATTACTTTTGACCATCAACTGAAAATTTCTTCATTCCCAGTAATGCAAATTTCATTGTTTTGTGCTCAGACTGGGTTTTACTTTGCTTGACTTCGGTTATCAATTTCAAGCTTTTTCATCGGTTGTTTTATGGGTGCCAAGCTTCGAATGTACACGTTTCCCGCGCCGTTCCCTCCCGCGGTAGACCCTTGCTTTGAGCTTTCCCGCCCTTGAAATCCTCAAGCTTCAGTTAAACGTTTTCCCGCGATGAGCAAAATCTTTTAACTCTTTGGTGAAAAGGCAAGAGTTTAACTATTTTTCTCGTTGTGTTTTAGGGTGCGATCTCTGACACAGATGTTCTCGCTGCGCTGAGTGGTGGGAATACAAAGGTTGGAGGGTTTTTCAGAGGCAAAAGACAAACGATTCGAAAAAAAGTATTCAGCAATACTACAAACCCAAACGTCCAATAAAATATATACATTATATTATATACATTAACATTAACATTTGGTTGTTTTTCAGCTGTCAAAACCAGATACATCTGCGAAGCCACCAGAGAAAGCAAATGGTAAACACACTTTGTTTGAACGACTAACTGGCTTACTAACTTACTGACTGACTGACTGACCGACTGACTGACTGACTAGATAATTTGGCTTTAACAGACTGAGTTGATAATGTTAATTAGCCACCGTTAAGAGTTTCTAAAGCTGACGTTACGAGCGTTAGCCCTTCTTCAGAGCGATTGATGAAGGGCTGACGCTCGAAACGTCGGCTTAGAAACTCTTTACGGTAGTCAATTTACGTTATCAACTCAGTCAATAAAAACAAATTGTCTTGATATGCTCTCACACCAACGCAGCACTACAGTTTCCTTAGAAACGTACCCCCTTCATTCATTTGACTGACTGATTGATCGACAGGCTGGATATCTAACTAGCTGACCGTTTGACTGACTTATGTAAAGAATGCCACACCGATTGGTTGATTGATTGACTAATTGATGTTACCTTTTGAAGGCGATCTCGACTTCAGCTTGTTATCAAGTGACGGCGAAGAGAATGATGGTGAAGATGTGTCCTTCAGCGAGCCTCCACTTGATGACGAGGACGATGAACTGCTGACCAGGCCAAGCTCTGGGTTTACACCCTCACCTCAACCGTTGACATCGACGCGGAAACCAGAGGAAGAGAGTGTGGGAATAGATAAGAAAGAAAATGGTGAGAAACAAGCAGCTAAATAAACTGTAAACAGTCCCATAATCCTTTTCTTCGCACCTCTACTTCCTGGGATGTACTTTATCGGTAACAGTGCCTCTAATTATTGAAACCCGAATTTACCACCTCTTCTCGTCTATGTTTTCTCTCAGCCACACCCAAATTGAATTTCGAGCTTGGCAGCCCGGTAAGCTCCGTATCTGACCCCGACCTCAGTGGCATTTCAGACAACGAGCCTGCGAAGAAAGGCAGCGGCAAAAAGAGTGACAAACCGGAAGAACCAGTCAAACCTGCTGGCGGAAGTCAAAGTGAAGGTAAAGTGAACCGATACATTTCTACTTTCTGTAGCTGATGTAAAAAAGGCGGGAAAAGTCTCGTAATACAAGTAGCTATTGCGCGCGAAACCTGGCGCAGAATCTTAGCACTGAACCCTGTACACCCCAACATCACGATGCATATTCTCCATACTGTTCTCTACACATTTTCTAAGGTGCTGACAAGGAGAATTTGTGTAACAATCAAGAGCTTATTTGGTTGAGGATCATTTCCTTTATTCTCATGACCTTAACGTGTGATGCAGGGATGATATTGTGCGGAGAAGTTGTATGTTAGTCAGTCTTAGGGGTCAGAAGGTTAACTATTGATCTTTTCTCTCTTTGTACAGAAGAGTCCGCTTGGGACAGCTCGGATGTAAGTGGATATTTATTCATTGTTAAATTGCTTATTCCAATCGGCGATAGCTGTTGATTCTGTGCTTCAAACACTATTGTGTGACATTCAAATGAAAGCTACTGATCAGTGCTTTCATATATAACTGGAAGTTTCGCCCCATTCGCCTCGACCACCTGTGCAAGTTCGCCCCCAAACTTGGTTCTTGTTACATTGTAAGTGGATTTGTCCTGAGCGGTAGACTAGTAACTTGATTTATTTTCTTCGTTCTCCGAAGGATCTTCTTCCGTCCGATGGTCCTGATACCACCAGAGGTAGCAGCTTGTTTGGTACGAGAAGCCCTCCGCCTACAAAGACTGTAGGTGAGACCAAACCTCAGTTAAAGGTTGCTGCTTCCCCGCGTAAGACTGATGTAAACGACAGCGATTCCGAAGTCACGGAATCAGAGGGCGAGTGGGAGAAGGAGAGAGCTTTAGAAAAAGCGAAAGAAAAGGAAAAACAGGAACAGGAAGATTTGGAAAGAGAGAAAGAAAAGCAGAGAATGTTGCAATGGGAGAAGGAAAGAAAAGAGAAAGAAGAAGCTCTCGCCAGAGAACTGCAAGCAGAGTTAGAAATGGAGATGGAGATGGAAAGGAAGGAAAGGGAAGAGGAGGAGAGGCGAAGAAGAGAAGAAGAGGAAGAAGAGAATGAAAGGAGGAGGAAAGAGAAAGAAGAAAATGAGAGGAGGCGACGACAAGAAGAAGAACGCCGGAGGGAAAGGGAAGAAGAGGAAGGAAAATTAAGAAGAGAGGAGGAGGAGGAGGCGAGAAGATGCGAGAGGGAAAGAGAGGAGAGAGAAAAAGAAGAGAAGCTAGAACGTGAGCTGCGGAGGAAGGAAGGAGAAAGACGGCAGCTGGAGCTGCAACAAGAAGAGGAACGTCGGAAGCGAGAGGAAGAAGTACAAAGGATTAAAGAACAGAATGAGCGAGATATGCGTATGTTTGAATTACAAAAAGAACAGGAGCTTGAGAGGCAAATGCGTCTTAAAGAGGAAGAGATGGAACGGCAGAAGAGAGAGTACGAGGAGAGGTTGGAAAGGGAAAGGATTGCGTTGGAGGAACAGCGCGCGAAAGAAGCCGAAGATCTTCTTCACAAGCAAAGAACTGCAGACGAAGAAGCTGAAATTCTACTTCAAGCTTATCGACGAAAACAAGAAGAATTGTTGGAAAAAGAGAGATTGTTTGAAGAAGAAATGATTCGGCGTGAGAGGGAGCTGGAGGAGAAAAAGCGGAAGGATGAACTGGAAAGAATTGCTTCGCAGGATATGGTGACCGTCGTGCAGAAGGATTCAACGTACTCCGCTGCTCCTTTAGGTGGCAGTTTGGAGCAGTCCAAGGAGTTGGAAGAACTAGAGGAATGGAAGCGGATGTACGAGATGAATGTAGAACAGGAGAAAACGGCTCTGGAAGACGCTGTCCGCAAGAGGAGGGAAGAAGAGCAGAAGGCCGCGGAAGCAGCAGAGAAGTTGCGTCAGATACAGCAGGAAGAGGATTTGAAGCGGATCGAGGGTGCGCTGCGTCATAGGCGGCAGGGAGAGGAGGTGAAGGAAGCAGAGAGTAAACTGAAGAGGCTGGAAGTAGAAGAACAGGCTGTCCAGGCTAAGAAAGGTGAGTCTAGGGAGTAAGTTTCTAAAGAAACTGTGTTGCAGCGCCGCTATGGGTATAACAAGATAATGTAACTTGGCCACGGTAAAAATTTTTTTGAAGCCGACGTTTCGAGCGTTAAACCTTCGTCAGAGCGAATCAACGAATTTCGCTCTGACGAAGGGCTATCGCTCGGAATGTCAGCTTTTGAAACTCTTTACGATGACCAATTTGCCTTGTAACTCAGATAATTTGTTGAAACCAAATTATCCAAGAAAGGCGAGCTTTAGTTTAAAAAGCTGTTGCTTGGAACAAGAAGGTGTAAAGATTCAAAATGAAAGTTACCGAGCTGCACATTCATGTGATATTGTATATTATGCTGATGGTTCGAAATTTCCAGTCTGTTACAATAACCCGAGTGTGTGATTTATGCCATTAGAAAGTTACTAAGCAACTAATAACTACCACATGAATGAACTTTGCTGTACAAGGTGGTTTTTAACTATGAAGTCTGAATGAAGCGTTAGTTTAAGACAATTCAAACGGAAGCAACTGAAAAGTAATTTTTTTGTGATGCCTTTTTGTTTTCGACCAGACTTTTCTTCATTTTTACTCAGTATACTTGTGTGTAAGGTTTCTTACTTTCCACGAGTTTTTATAACTTTTCCACAGGCAGCTGTCGATGTTTTAATAGGCGGCTGTGTCGTCAGCCGAAACTCAAACATGAAAGCCTGCGTGCAGGCTTAACAGACGTCGGTGAAATGTCATTAAGCCGTAGACCACCGTTAAACGAAACCCCTGATTTCCCCTTCTAATTTAGAGAAAAAAGTTCACCGAATGTATGCCTCGTCAAATTATGAGCAAACCCGTCAATTATTTCAGACATTTCATGATCGAATGTTCCTTTTTTTACACCATTATTTCCAGATTCTAAAATTACACCAAATTCAAACAACTTTGTTTTGTTTGCTTAAGACGGAACGCTTGGCTGGCACGCCGATTTATTGAAATAAATTTACATCTCCATAGTGGTCTGTTTACAAATTTCACGGATGAGCGAATTTTGCGTTTTTTCGTGTAAGCGACCGAATACAGTACATCAAAGCAAAAGATTACCTAGAGACAACAGTTTTTCAGGATTTGAGGAGCTAATAGTTTATGAAATTCGAACGACGAGTGTTTAGAGGGGAAAGAGAACTTTTCTGTGGAATTACACGGCAATGGATTGCAACGTTCGTAAACCGATTTAACGCTGTCAAGAACATTTTGTGTTCAGACCGTCTTCGTTAATTGTGGCGAAAACTTTCTTGTAAAAAGCGGAGTTTCGTTTTGACTGTCGGCAATCGTCAAAAATTGAGGTAAGAGTGAGGCTAAATATCCAACAACCCTTTTGAACTTCTTGAAATTATAGCGTCTGTCGTTGGCAAATTGATTCGGGTTTTAGTCTTTCAGAGTTAATTTGTGGATTAAAGTTCTTAATCATCATCGCCCACTGTCTCTCGGTGTAAATCACTGAAATTTTCAACACTGATCGTTCCTAAGCTTACAATTTTGCCTTAACTCATGATTGACAGATTTTACCAATTTAGATTGAAGTGGCTTTTTCTCGCACATATTCTGAAAGGTGTGAAGTATTGTAATAATCCTTTGGAAAACAAGAAAGGAAATTGTGCATTTTAATCGCTTTCACGTTTTTGTTATTCTGACGTTGTCATAGCTTTAATAAGGAGCGAATGAGATATATCATAAAATTTTGTTATCACATAACTTTGCTTGACTACAGTTTCTCTGTAAAATGAAATTATTTTTCGTAAATTATATTTGAAGGTTTTACAAGGCGCTTACTTCAAGTTTGTTTCATTAAGTAACTCACATGTGCTTTAAAGCACTTAACTTTGAAATTCTCTCCTTGTCTTATCCCATTTAGTCCTAAGAATGATTAACATCTAATTTCTCCTTAGAATATCAACTTGAATGAAAAATAAGGTCATAACAATAAAGGAAATGATCACTAACCAAACAAGCTCTTGATTGTCAAACAAATTCTCCTTGTCATCACTCTAAAAACGTCTAGAGAAAAGTATGAAGAATATTCATACTGAAATGAGGATGCAGAGGGTTGTTGCACACAGCCGTCGACTCGTAAAGCGACTATTGCCTTTCTACAAGTATTGTAATGAATCGATTTGATTTTAAATTGGTAACTGAGCTTGATTTGACTTTTGCAAAGTTTCCGAAAAAAGTGAAAACATTGCAAAGTTTACCATTTGTTTGAACATGACGAAGGTTGGGAGAAACTTTACCATGCTCGTTTTTGGATTGCGCAGTTCCGCTGAAAGCACTTGGCTCGCTTTCTTGTCTGTATAAGATGTAAAAATGTGTATTGTATTTCAGAGTTTTTTCCTGCTCCCGCCTTGTTTATTGAACTAGTAATAATTTCTGAAATACTACAGCTGTACACTTTTGAAAAATCTATTAGATTTTTATTTATTCTGAATTCTTCGAAGATGTCCTGCTAATGAAAGTGGAACGATTCTCTCTGTGGAGGATGAGAAAATACTGATATGGTAAAAAGGTTTTTGTCAGCTTTCAAACTGCAGTAGCTAAGAAATTATTAAACTTTGCTGACACAACTCGAGAGGGGATGCTTGTTAGAGAGAGGGATAATTAGTGAGGGGTACTCATAACAAAGGGGGTTATAAGAGAGGGGGACTTATTAATGAGGGCGCTTTATAGAGAGGGGGGCTTATTGTACCGTAGGGGAAAAGTGGTGAAAGCGAACGTAATGGAAGAACTTCTTGCAATCGCGAACACAATTCTTTTAGGTTCTCACACAAGGCATTTGAAACAAAACAAAACTTTCAATAGGCCATTTTGCAGTTGTGTACCTAGTTGCCAAGCCTTTGATTTGGAGTGAGGCTGAAGGTGACCTTGTTGTGATAGAGGCCAGTATCTAGTTAGCATGATAAAAAAGTAATTTGCATTTGAAAAACAGTAAGGTTTGTATCATAACAAGGTCACCCTTAGCCTCAGTCCTGTTCAAAGGCTTGGTAACCAAGCACACAACTGTAAAATGGACTATTAGACTTAGTTACAAAAACCATATTCTTGTTAAAGATAATTTTGGACATTTATGGAAAGTGGTAAGGAGAACTTTGTTTCTGATCTTCACAGAAATCGAGCAGCAGCGCTTAATGGATCTGGAGGCCCAGAAAAATCGCTTGGACCAGGAAACCAGCACTAAACTGGCTGAGTTCAATAACAGGTAAGGAAACCTCTTTCAGCAATATGCAATTGAACTTCGTAGATAATGAGCGATTACATTTGTTTTCATCGACTCCGCTCTAAGTTTACTCTCAGAAACTCTTGACTGTATCTCGACCAATCAAACGCAAAGGCTAAACGAATTGCGACTTGGTCACGTGAGTTTTCCCGCGCTTTATGCCGTTAACGAGTATTTACCTGATTTCTCATTGGCTCCTTGTGATTTTTTTGCCCTTTTCTGATTGGCTGCTGTGATTGCTCTCGTTTGGATTACGACTAATCTATTAAGCCTTATACATGTAGTGTGTTCTCTCTCTTCAAGAAACTGCGTTTTTTGGGCTATTTTACGAAAGTGAAAACTTACGATAGGGTCTAGCCTATCATGACTGGTTTGAAAAACTACAGCAGTTGCGCTTTTTTTTCTCGTTTCTTGGACCAGTTTCGCTGAATAGCGCAGTTCTTTACTTTCAGAGTCAATATTTCCGGTGCCCTTGGCAATAAGTTAGTCTTCTTTAGCTCAGCTGAAAATTTCTCGAAGCCCACTGGAATTCAGAGGTCAGAGATGTTGCTAGGCAAAGTGGCGTATTAATGACGTCTGACGTTCATTGTGAAGAAAAATGCGTACTTTTGAGATTAAACCCGGGAATAAAATACGAGGAAATGAAATATGATTGAGTTAAGTAGTTAGTTCTTCGCTTGAAACCCAAAACACTTCAAACCTCGTTCACCAAGAAAAATCCTCCCGCTTGCTGTATAGGCATCGTCGAGCGGAGCTTGAGAAAAAATCGAGGCAGATCCTCGAGGAACGTGACCACCTTAGCACCACGTTTGAGGCAACGCGGCAGAGGACCACAGAACTGAACCAGCCCCCTTCGGTGTCGCTTCTTTCCCCGGACAAACGGCTCAGCGTTGTAAGCTTAGGGAGTGAAGCTGACCGCGATAAGAACACCAGGTAGGACTACTGATGGCGTCATTTTTGCTTGTCACGCAACGATCCTGTGTGTCACAAAAATTGTTCTTGTTTCGCGCAGAACTATCGGACGTCGCACAGCCATCGTGTATACTGCACGAATTCTCCTCCTCCCAGCGTTGGAGTGAAAATAACTTGCACTTGAACACGGAAATGATTGAGATGACTGTCTTTCTTCTTCCTGAAAAAAAAAGACCAAAAAACATTTTTTTTCCAAAGTAATGCACCTCTTCTCTCAAAAGAGTTACTCAGCGCGAAGGAACAATGTCTTATTTTTTTCAACCTTCTTCAAGGATTCGGAGAATCAACACGTAGTATTTTTTGATAAAGATTTATTTTTTGCGTGGCGACATCTCTGGCTTACGTTAAATTTGAATAGTGATTAGTTCCTTAACTAAAAATAGTCCCCGCTTTTTGGCGAAGTTTGTAGCGCGAGTAAGAACGAAATTGAAGCTAGTGCGGGACTCTGGGAGTGAGCGCACAAAAAGCAGGGAAGGTGAGAGAGAGGAAGCTGTTCCAGACTTACCTCACAATTCTCTTCGCCGTAGGTAATTATTCACTTCAAACGTAGCTTTAGTAACTACAGGAAGACAATCCAGTTCTAGACCCTTAGTTGGTGAAAATGGGTGGTTTAGTAGCCCATCCAGTTGGAGCTTATCTCGGTTTCTTTGGCTGGAAGCGACTGAGAGTATACCAACTTCCCCTCTGGGTGGATAGCAGGTCGATAGCTTTCCCTGTCAGTTTGCTGGCCTGGTATTTTTTTATACTTCTGGATGGAGGCACTGTGAGGCACAGAGGCACTGTGAGGGTCAAGTGTCCTGTTGAAGAACACAATAGATCGACCTGGTTACGTTTCGAACCCAGACCTCTGGACCCGCTCACCCCATTCTCGACAGAGGGGGGTGAGCGAAAATCGGTCACCGTCAGGAAAACGGCTCACTGATTCCCACTAATTTTCGCTCGCACGTGTTTTTTCACTCGTTTTTTATTGACCACGAGCCTTGAACTGATTACAAAAAGCCTGGGGAAAGCGGGAAAACTCTCATTCTTTCTGCTCTTTTTCTCTCTTTTTTTGTCCTTTTTGTAGCAATCCTGCTGGCGGTTACAGGATGAAAGATAAAGATAAACCAGATGGAGAACAGATGAACTCGCAGAAGGTATGTAGGAGTCTACCTCCAAAGTAACCTTTACCGTTTGTAAAAGAAAAAATCTTGTTTTGTTTTTCTGTTTCGTCTTGCTTATTATTTCTTTTTGTCTTCTAGCCACTCACAAATGGTTTCGCGGATGATGGAGACTGGTCCGAATCATCCGAGGAGGATCACCATGGCCGCTACTCTCCTTTAGTTGCCATGACAATGAACGGCACCAATGCCAAGCCTCCCACGGGAATCTCGCCACCTCGGTCTCAGTCTCCCTTGTACAAAGCGTCTACCCCGCTGAATACAACAGGTGGTGGACTGGGCACGTCATCCCTCAGCAGTTCCTTTGCGCTCCAAGGTAAAATAATTTCATATTTGTAGGAATCGTTCTATGAATGGGCCGTGGAGGAAAAGTTCTTTCGAGAAACTATGAGGGATTAATGGTTCGAGGGAACTCAACATATCTTTTAGCAGTTCCCTAGAATTAAGCCGCTGAGAAATGCGTTGTCAACCAAAACAAAAACTCTTCGAGTTTTTCGGAAAAAAATAGATTTTTATCTACCTTAAGTGGAATTTTGTTAATTCTTCGGAAGCGATCCGTAATTTTAACAGCCCGGAAACTAGCCGGGATGATGCTGCGGCCGAATTTTTTGGCGCGAAAATCTGAGCTATTAGTTTGATCAAATAAACAGCTCTCTTTAGACTAATCACTGGCAAATTTCTTCGACAGTATTGCCATGATGATTTAACACCCAGAGATTGCTGCGTCTGTAGGCGGAATCAAGTCGTTTTCGATGGCGCACTTATTCTGCACGCGCATGTCGTTTACACGTCACAGCAAAAATCGGATACGTCATAATGCACGAAAAAATTTCTTTGCTTACCGTTTGTGTTTTTTTCTGTTGTGGTAAGCACGCTCGTAAATCTGATCGATCAAGTCATATTTACAGTTTACAGCTTATGAAGTGCTGATCTCCGCTATCTTTTGCCGTTCTTTCCGAATGTTACGTGGTTATCACAGCTCTAGATTTACCGGCGTCTTTCCAGCCTTCTCATCGTATGCGCTATGCGTGTTGTTTGTGTTTTCCACCTTTGACGCCCGTGGCATCCTTTCTCGTGGTTGTTCGCTTCTGATTAGTGAATTGCAGATTATAGAACATTAAGGGTAGCTAAGCTAAACATTCCCTTTGACATTTCAGACAGTACAAGCTTCGCGCGTCTTCAAGAAGCCCTTCGTGATTCAAAACGACAAGTTGACAAGCAGAAAGAGAGAATTGTAGCACTGGAGACAAGCAGGAAGCAAATGGAGATCGATTTAGCTGAACTTCAATTGTAAGAAAGATTTCTTGTTGGTGTATGTCAAGTATCATCCAACACAGTGCACTCTTAAGAAAAACGTATTTCACATTTCTTTTTCAGGAGGAGGGGAGACTGAGAAGGGTAGCTTTGAATAAGTGTTAGAGCAGTTTTCAATTGAATGACGAAGTGCCAAAGTAAAAGTAGTAACAACGGCCAGTCACCGCAGGGATAAACATCATCATGATAGCCAATGAAAATTCCGAGTAAATACAAACGAACTGGCTAAAGCGCGGGAAAACGCGGGCAACCAAGTCGCATCTGATTGGTTGAGGAGATGGTGCGAGTTTTCTGAACCAATCACACAACGAAGCAAAGCAAAATCAAAACAATCCTGGCTTATAATCAAAGCTCAATTGAAAATTGCTCCAATGGAAAAAAAATTCGCAAGGTAATAAGCTGGAAATAAGTCGGGAATGCATCCAACTGCGAAATCGTATCTACAAACCTGGCTCCGGTTGTTCGAAGGGGGAATAACGCTATTTATTGGAAAGATCTGTATTTGGTGGATAGCGCAGTAGGTTTTGTTAACTTTAGAACAGTTTTCAATTGAGTATCGAAGAGTGGCCCAGAAAACATCGCGCCACAATCGCAACCAATTAAATGCAAAACTAACTCCAATTACGACTTGATCACCTGCGTTTTCCCGCGCTTTGCGTAATTTGCTTGGTTTTAGTTCGAGCTCTTATTGGTTCTTAAAGTTATTTTCTTCTCCTCTGATTGGCCGTTGTGATAATTTTGGTCATGGTTTTATCCGCTGCATAGCGTTCTCTGTATTTGATGGCGTTATCCTCATGAGGTATTTAGCTTTTTATGTGTCTTACCCTTATAAAGAATGTTTCCCAAAAATTTATATTTTTTCCCTTACCAGGAAGGTGGAGACTCTAACCAAAGAGAGATCTGAATCTGAGCGGCTGAAAATGGAGGTGGAGTCAGCCTATAGAACACTGCAGTATAAACATGAACAAGAGAGCGAAGCTTTGCGCGTATCTGAAGCTCTTCAGAGTCAACTGAAGGAGCAGATTTCAAGATCAGAAGAAAAACTTGCTAAGTAGGTTGAAGTGAAGATTTGTTTTTTGTTAGCGCTGTTTTGATCGGAGAAAGAGTTTAGGCCGAGAGTTTTTTCTTGTTGTTTTCCAATGTTTAATTTTCCTCTGTGACTCTTAATGATCTGGTTAAATTCTAATTCGAAAGGAAACGAAATATTTAAATACAACGTCAAGAGCATCCTTTTATTTGTGTTTTACGTAGTCAAGCTTGTTACTGAATTCTTTGTAGTGTAAATGTTGATGCATTGACATGACAAATAATGGACATCGTTCTTTGTTTTTCAACAGGGAACTGGAAAAGCGACAAAACTTGGAGGTCGAGAAGCGCCAGCAACAAACTGAGGTCAAATCCTTACGCAACACCGTTCAACAACTTGAGTCCGATATTCGAGACCTGAAGAGAGCGCTGGCAGAAGAACAAGACACCCGCGCCGCGCATGGCGAATTACTTGATGAAGAAAGGCGTAAAAACGACGCCTTAATGGAAGAAACGCGACATCATTCCCAGCAGAAAACTGAAGCTCTTTATCAGCTTGAAGCGGTGGACAAGACTCGAAAGAGTTACGAAGAAAGTAGCGGCTCACTGAGAGAGGAACTCAAAGCAGCACTGGTAAAAATTAATGAATTAATAACTTATCTCTGGGGCTGTTTGCTTCATTTCGCTTCGTGATTGGTCCATAACCAACCAATAAGAGGCAAAACTAAAAATCAATAACGACTTGTTTACTGACGTTTTCCCGCGCTCGAGAATGATTGCACGCGTTTACTTTGCATGTATTTTGTAGTAAGCGCGTTAGGGTTGTACGAGTTGAGTGCAACCATCATTATTTGTTTTGTAGGTTGAGTTGGCTGAAACGAAGGCTCGTCTAGAAGCAACCAAAGCATCTATGGGAAAGGAAATATCCATTTTGAAGGAAAAGTTAGAGAAAAAAGCGGTCAAAGTGGTAAGTTACCACAAACCAAAAGTAGAGAAAACTCTAACACTCGGAAAAAGAACTTCTTGATCAAAGATTGTTAAAGTTTTGAAGAACACTCGCCACTCGGTTATTATCTCTAACCCATAACCTTTCACCCTTAACCCTTAACCTTTCACCCTTGACCCTTGAGCTCCCACGGTCTGATTTCTAACTCTTCCCTTTGACTGATACACATGTCCATGTAATTGGAGTTGGATCAAGGTAACAACTTCTACCTGATAAGTTTTAGTATTCTTAATACCTGTTTGTCCCATAATGTATGTATATTATAGGGAGAAGTTACAGGCTCGTCACTTGCAGGAGTTAAAAGGTTAAAATATTCCTGTTTTGTCCCAGGCCAAGCATGAAGAAGCGCTTCTTCAAACTCGCGCCGAATTCGATTCACATGTGGCTAGCGGTAGAAACGAACATGCGCAGATAAGCAGCAAGTTGGAAAGTGAAACGCAGACAAGAACTCGCCTGGAGTCTGAGGTACTTCATGTAACAATTGCAATGTGTGACATTACTGACAGGAAGGCGAGATCAATAGTAGGCTAAATCCATGAGTAATGATTCCGGTTTTGACTGCTGACCTAGGTGTACCGTGGTGTGTTTTGCCAGACAGTCAATTCTTACTATGCCTCCCCCCACCCACCCAGGAAAATTAACGGTACAGGGAAACCTGAAAAAAAATCCAAGGGGAGGGATGGTGAGAAATTGTAATAAGGGAGGGGGGAAGTGCATCGGTGACCTAGGCAGGGAAGGGAAGGGAAGTAGCTCTAAGGAGCTTCATTTTATGTACAGAGGGAGTGGTAATTGTGATTCCCATCAGCTGTATTTGAGGGTTGGGGATAGACTTAACTTTATCATATATTCGTCTGCATTGATGTTTATGTAACAAGAAAGTATTGGGATAAACGTTCTTCTTTGTTTCGTTGTTTTTTGTAGGTTTCGTCACTGAGATCACGCCTGGAGAAATCGGACAAGGAACTAGAAAGAGCAAGTGTCGGAAGAGTGGAGGCAGAGAGGTGAAAAGTCTTTAAATTATTTTCCCTTCGCTAAGTATTTCATTGTTCATACCATACGGCAACGTTATTTAGGCCGCAGTTAATGAAGAATTGTTTCACCTGATAAACTGTTGTGTGACATACAAAGGGACGATGAACTTGTTGCGTGACCGTGACATCGCAAGACCACTATCGGCTTCACTTTTTGGCTTTCAACGGAGAAAGCTTTGTCTCTGGACTATCTCTTGAATGATGTCCAAGTCGCACGTGAATCGTAGAAATAAAAGACTGATTTCGTTGTTTGTTGTTTTCAGACAAGTACAAAACCTTCGTGATGAACTTTATCAGGCGAAGCTTCGACTAGAGAAAGAGACTTTTTCGCTAAAAGACACAAACAAGGTAACTTTTTTAGAGCAATTTTCACGATGGTCGAAAGAACCCCGAATGATATTTATTTTGCTGCACTTCGCTCTATGATTGGTCAAGAAAAACGCACCACTCTCTCACTCTCAACCAATCAGATGCAAAATTAAAACAACCGCGACTTGGTCACTCGCGTTTTCCCGCGCTTCAGGCAGGTTGCTTGTTTTAGATCTGAATTCTTATTGGCTTGTTATGATGATTTCCTTTGCTCTGATTGGTCATAGTGGTTTCTTTGGTTTGGGTTTTACACCACTCAATCGAAATGCCCATGACTAACTTTATTTCCAATTTGTTGGAAGGGTTAAGAGTTAATTTTATGTAAATTTGTTCCAAAAGGTAACAATGATTCCTTTTTTTTTTTGTTCGTAATGTAAGGGTCTTGCAGTGAAGTTGGAGGCTATGGAAAGTAAAGCAAGCAACCTTGACATTGAGGTAATGATAATTCCTGTCGAATATATTTCGAAATTCTTGGAGAGTCTTCAGATTAACAGATCGCATCCTGGACTTCCCTTTTCGAGTCCTAACCGGGTCGTTGTGACCTAAGAGGGGGGAGGTGTACCCGGTTCTCCAAATCTGACTTATTTGAGGCCAAAACATCCCATTTTCCAAACCCGGTTTCCGACTCGGCCTCCAAAGCCAGGTCAAGTTTACAGGTCAAGTATCACGGTCAAAATCAGAACTGTTAAAATTAACCCGAAAAGTTCGTTATCAGAACCCAAAACTTTAAGCGCCTTATCTGAACTAACCACTCTTAACAAGAACCCGTCGAACTTTCGTGTCGTCGCGCAAAAAGATGTCGAGAGCGAGAAACCCTTTCGTGGTTAAACCGAGTATCGGTTGCTAAGGCGACATCTATTCCTCCTACTAAAACTTTTTAATCCTTCAGCTGCAAAATGCTAGTCTTTTACTTACGGAGCGAGGAAGTCAACTGAACCTTGTACAGCGTGACACGGAATACCAGAAGTCACAATTTGATAGGCTGCAAGAAAAGATTCGACTAGAAAAGGTTTGTAGAAGTGTCACGTAGTATTACACATTGTGGTCACGCTGTTTCAGTAGTCAAGCTTATACTGTCATCGCAGTTAGCTATCTTAGAGTTGTCACGAAGTAGAGAGTCACGCGCAAGTGGCGTTGCGTCACGTCTGCCATGTCACGATCTAACAGTTTTATCCTCAGGTCTAGAGGGAAATTTTCCTCGCTTCCTGCCATTTATTTCTGGTAATGTCATTTCTAAAAAACTTGGTGTTGAATCGAACAGTAACCCCTGGTATATGTTTGTCTTTTTCCTGATTACCAGCCAGCTAGGCAATGTATTGATATATTGAAGAGACGACTTTGCAAGTCGTGTTCTTGTAAAGATTATAAGTGCAGGAATTTTACAAAGGTCAGCTGGGTGATTACATAAGAACGCTTTTCAGAGCTATCCTCATCTGGAAGATTGCACAGCACGATTTATTTAGTCATAAACTCAGTTCTCAGTGGAATAAAAGGACCTAATACCCTTGTCATTAATCACATCAACTGTTTCTCCCTTTCAGGAACAAAATTCAAGACTTACTGGTAAATTAGAAAGCAGTGATCACAAGTAAGCAATATAAATTGATAATAAATGTGTTTTATGGACAATCTGAATTTTTGTGTCATGTAAAAAAGATGATTGCGTTACCCACAACATTTGAGAAGTGTTTTTCTCAACAATCTCCCGTGCCCAAGAACTCACGTGGACGAATTAAACTGCTCGTAAAGATTACTTGATAAGAATACCTGCTTAAATTACTGCGAAGGGCTTAAGCTTAGATTCTACTTCAAAAAGAATTCCCTGGCAAGTACCATTCACAAGTGCTCTGTACTTAGAGCATTTTGAGTGTGAAAGGTTATCCGGGATGTCATTGGTTTGAGTCGGTTTCGCTTTACTTCGTTTTGCGATTGGTCCAAAAAACTCACACCACCTTCTCAACCAAAGTATAACTAATCGCGTCCTGGTCGGTGCGTTTTCCCGCGCTTTTAGCAGTTTATTTTTGTTTTGAGCTCTCATTGGCTAATGATGATGTAAATCTTTGTGCTTATTGGTTATTGTCATTACTTTGGTTTCGGTTTTTTGGCACTAATTAGAAACTGCTCCGAATACATACCTACCTTATGTAAATCTCAACCAAAAATTATGTGTTTTGTCTCAGAATTTCCAGTCTCCATGCTGAATGTGACACGTTACGCCGGAGATTGGAAGAAGCAACGGAGAAGTTACGAAAACAGGAGGAAGTTGCCATGAGATCAGAGGTGGGTCTGAATTTTTATCAATTAACTTTCATCTCATTTCTTCATCGTGTACAACAGGGCTTGGTTGTTCGAAGGATTGATAACGCAATCCACTGGATAAATCTATATCCGGTGGAAAGCGTGGAATGTATTGTCAACACCTATCCGCCGGATAGCGATCTGTCCGGTGGATATCGATATCCAACCTTAAAACAACTGGCCCTGGTTCTTAATTTAATTCTTCCACTCTTGTCTGGAGGCATCATGGCCGAGTGGTTAGGGCGACGGGTATTAGGGTGACGTCGACGACACCGAAATCCGGTGGTCCTGGGTTCAAGCCCTCCACCCTAACACTCATTGGATTTATTCATGTTTTTTCCGAGTTCAACTCCTCAATTGCGCTATGCAAAACCCAACTAGTCTGCCTCCTGCTAGTTGGAATTTTTAAACACTATGTTTATTTATTCATTCGTTCGTATTGGCTCTGAAAAGCCCCATTGGGGAGATGATCAATGAAGTATTCATGCATGTATAACCCCTTGAGACTTGTTCTTCTCAGTTTTAAGGTTTAAGCTTTGCTCTTCTTTTGGTAGATAAAAGGCATGCAACACTCATGAATTCTCGAACTTTATGGACTTATTTGGTGAAGTTTCCTTAGGAAGCTGTCTGAAATATTTTAAAACTCTTGTTATATTTTGCAGGAAAAATTTAACGGCTTGCTTGCGTCATCGAGAGCAGATTTTGAAAAGGTAGGTAACATTCAAATCGCTTCGCGTCGTGGTTTCTTACGCTTATCTCGTGTTCTCCCAACCTCCCGCGTGTTTACATCAGGCTATGTAAACACGGAAATCATTTTACATTTCTTCAGCTTAGCATTCAAAAGTTATGGTTTCGCCTATATATCGCCGCCTATATTTATATTTTTGCTTTTCACTGGTTCTTCCAATTTAGGAGTTTCCCTTAGTCAGCTAAGTGAGTGAACCAGCGGTTACTTTTGAAAGTAATTTTTCTTATTTAGGTCTGTGATGGGTGTGGTTGTTTTTAAGTAGTAGGTGATTATGTTTCATATTTGTGTTCCGTTAGAGTAAACAAGTTATGCAAGAGAAACATGAAAATCTCTTGGACATGATCAACAAACTCAAGTCAGACGTTGAGAAAGGAAAAGAAAAGAGTGCACAGCAGAAAGCTCACATCAGGGATCTACAACAGGTCTGGTTTTTCCATTTTCTTTTGTTGACTTTTTTTTTCTTCTTCTCATGCTAGCTGCCAGCAACTTTTTTTATTTTTTGTTTATATTTTGCTTTTTTGTAATTCGTCCGTTCTTTCTTCGTTCGGATGAGTTCGGTCGTCGTTCGTTCTTGTGAGGGTGACATCGTTCGTTCGAATGAGTTCGTTCGTCGTTCGTTGATGCGAGGACGACATCGGTCATTAGGATGAGTTCGTTCGTCGTTCTTTCTTGCAAGGGTGACATCACTCGTTCGGATGAGTCCGTTCGTCGTTCGTTCTTGCGAGGGTGACATCGTTCGTTCCGATGGGTTCGTTCGTCGTTCGTTCATGCGTTCGTTGTTGTTGTTGTTGTTGTTGTTGTTTTTATTGTTGCTGTTGCTGCTGTTACTGAGCCCTCTTACCTCGCCTGAACTTATTTTGTGTGGATGCTGTAGCTCAATGATATTCTTTTCGTGTAGGAGTTAAACGAAACATCCAAGAAACTTGTTCAAACTGAAACAACGTTGGCAATGCAAACCAAGGTATTTATATTTTCTTTCTTGTCTATCGCCTGAAAAAGGAAATCAAGATAAATACTTGCAAGTGGAAAAGATTACCGTAATTCTCCAACGCGTACATCTCAGTACACAGCTTTTTGATAACCTCGTGCTGTTGTCAATGTCTTTCCGGTTTTTTCTTGTCTTAGCTTCGCGAAGAACTGGAAGATGAGCGTTCGCAGTTAAGAAACCAACTGAGCAATCTTGAAAATACGG